CCTGGGTTCTATCCCCGGCTCCGGGAGGGGAGTGGGGGTTAGTGGCTAGAGCTGAGCGTGAGGCTTGGAGCCAGGACGCCTGGGTTCTTTCCCCGGCTAGTGGCTACAGCAGGGGCTGGAGCATCCCTCCCTGCCCCCCATCACTGATTCCCTCCCTCTTCTCTGCCCTACAGGCCCGGAAGCACCTGCGGAACTTCGAGGCAACACACTGCACCCCACTGCCCCCCCCAGCCTTCCGTTTGCCCTGGCACTTGTAGCCGGGGAGCCCCCCACCCCCGTCATGCCCATCGATTGCACTGACACACACACACCCCGTTGGTCTGTTTTATATGGAGCCGGGTGCCCCCCTCCCTGCTGTGTGTGAGCCCCCCCGCCCGCCGCACGCTGTAAATCCGCCCCCAGCCCCAAACCTGGGGGGCCCCCCGAGCTGGAGAAATTAACAGTAAAGAAGGTATTTTTTGTACTTCGAGTCTGTCTGTCTGCGGCGATGCAGCCAGCTCTGGGGGGCAGCCCCCCATGCCTGGATCCACAGCCCGGCCGCCAGGGGGCCCTGACACACAGTGGCTCCACTTTTCTCCAGCAGGGGGCAGCCCCTCGTTCCTAGGCCTGCCGGGGTGGCCTCTTTGGCGCCCTGATGTGGGCGGAGACGGGGCGAGGTGGGTGCCTAACGTTCATGCTGGCAGCCGCTTCAAAGCGGCCCTGCGGGGGCCTGGGGAACTCCCAGCTACTGGATGTGGGGCCAGATTGTCTCCCAGGGCGGCTGGCCGCAACGTGTCCCATGGGGCCTCTTCTCCCCTATGGGTTCTGAGCCCCCTTCGCCAGGGGTCAGCCACCCTCGTTAGCCTGCGGGACTCTCTCTCTCTCACACGCCAAGGCCTTAATTAACCTGAAGGCCCCTGAGCGCCAGGCTCTGATCAAACCAGGACCGGGGAGGCTCTCCTGTGACCAGTTGTTAACCTGGGGAACTCACTGCCACTAGCTGCAGCCTGTAATTAGAACCCTGCCAACATCTCCTTTCCAATTATAACAAGCTCTGCGCTGGTCTCCTGAGCCAGGTGGGGGCCTCATTTGCTTGGGGAACTTCCTGCCACACAAGGACTGGTTCCCGGGGCAGCTCTCTCACACTCTATTTCACCTGGGGAACTCTCTGCCCCATGATTCCCTGCCCTCTGTCAACAGGGCAGGAGCGGCTGGGGCAGTGGGGGGCATTTCAGCCTCTGCGGGGGCAGCTCAGTGAGAGGCCAGCGGTGGCCGTCCAGTTCGCAGGCATGAACAGCACTGGAGCGGCCATCATTAGCTTTCAGAGTGAACGCTGTGTGGCGAAGGGAGCCGGCAGCGGCTGGTTCACGCTCCCGGCAGACCCGGGCGCGGCTGGGCTGGGGGAAGTCTGAGCTGCTGTGATAAGGGCCCC